CCCCGACCCCCAGAAGAGACGCCGTGCCCAGGTGGGCCTGCACCTGCTCCGCCCGTGTGCTGCCAAGAGAGGCCCTCAGCCCCGACACCATCACACACATCCCTGCTCCAGGAAGCCAGGGAGGGTCCCCAGCAGGGGCCCTGCAGCAGGGTCGGAAGCCTGGGGGCGCACGTTCCTCCTTGTAACACACCCCTGCACGTTCCTTTCTGATTTATTTATTGCAGTACTGGGGGTTGAACCCAGGCTGTTCACACTGGGCTACATCCCCATCCCTTTGTATTTACTTTGAGACAGGGTCTCACTAGGTCACTAAGTTGCCCAAGCTGGGCTAGAATTTAAGAACCTCCCACCTCAGCCTCCCAGAATGTTGGAACTTTATAAATGTCACAAATCAGCACTGCCTGAATGGGGTCCACCTTGGTGGGAAAGGGCCGTCCCCCACCCCCTGGTTAGGCTCCGTGTGTTCTCAAAGCTGGAGCCGGCCCGACTTGCTTACAGTCGCTCCGACGCCTGGCTCTAGGGATAGGAAGCGGCCCAGGGCAGCCCCAGCGCACGGAGATGCTCTTAAGAGGCGCTTTCTGAATGCATGAGGATCTGATGGGTAGGGGTGCGTATGAAGGGGGCCCAGAAGCCCTCATGGCCTTACTGGTTGAAGCAGTGGGCGGCAGACAGCAGCCAGCGGTCGCCCACCACGGTGGCTCCGCAGAAGTGCCGGGTCCCATCCTTCAGGCTGGCCTGCCACGGCACCTCCCCAGACACGGCCCCGGTCCCGCCCACGATGCGGAGCGGTTTCTCCATGGCTGGCCTGGCCCCGCAGTCTGCAGGGGGACAAAAAGGTGGTGAAGGGGTCTTGGATACCGGTGTCCTGGGCCCTGAGGGGCTATGGGGACACCAGAGCAGAGCTTGCTGGCTGAAGCCACCCCATTCGACAGAGGAAGCCGCAATCAGGAGGCTTCAAAGGTCACACGGCAGGAGGTGGCATAGCTGGGAACATGTATGTTAGAAAGGTAAAGCTAAATTTATAAGGTCCTGCCAGGTGTGGTGGCGCACGCCCCATAATCTTAGCACTCCAGAGGCTGAGGCAGGAGGATCCCTGCAAGTTTGAGGCCAGCCTGGGCTACACAGAGTGTAAGGCCCTGTCTCAAAAAAGAAGAAAAAGAAAAAGGAAGAAAGAAAGAAAGAAAGAAAGAAAGAAAGAAAGAAAGAAAGAAAGAAAGAAAAAGAAAAGTCATATAGAAAGAAAGAAAGAAAAAAAGAAAAGTCCTATCTTGAGTAAGAGTCCTTGTCCAAAGCTTCACACCCAGGTGTGAAAAGAGGCAGATTCTCAGACCAACCTGACTCCAATCCTCCATGTAAGGGCAGAGCATTCTATGCTCCGGGGAGGATCACATGCAGCAGTGCTGCTGCGGATTTTAGAGGAAAAGATTTTTGGTGAGGTCTGAGACTCACAGAGAGCTTCTCAGATGTCAGGCAGAGTAACTGCGCCCACACCTCCACCCTGCACACAAGAACGGAAAACACATACAGCCCTTTACACTGTTATGGCTGCGTCTGGAAGTCCCCCAAAGCGTCACGCAGTCATAGGTTGGGGCTCTTCAGAGGCGGCTGGATCTAGAGTGTGTGATGCTGGGATTAAGAGTGGGTGATTACTAAATCATAGGTTCCTGCCCGGGTATGAACTGCTGAATTATTATGGTGGTGATGGTCTAACATGGCTGAAGCCCAAAGCAACGGCTTATCTTCCCAATGACCGCCCCAGCTTTTTCTCCTCCCCTCAGCCCAAGTACAACTTCCTCTTGCCCTTCCAGCATGCCCAAAGAAACTCCCAATGAGCTCCTGATACGTCACTAAGCCCGCCCCTTAAGCTCCGCCCCCTAGCCAGAGTCTTTACACCACCCCACCCCCGTTTAGCCCCACAGGAGTGCGGTAATCACATGCTGTCCTCTCCTCTCCATGTCCACGGTAAAGGCCTTATTGCCACTTGTCACTTGTTCCTTGCTGCATGCTGCCTTCTGCCTGCCATGAACTGTTTCTTCTTTGTGATGCCCCTCTGCCATGCCGTGCTGCCTTGGAGCCAGCCAACGATGAACTGAAACTTCTACAAAGTGTGAGCTAAATAAACCTTTCCTCCTTTAACTTTGGGTGTTGGGTATTTTGTCTCAGCAACAAGAATAAGTAACTAAGATATAAACCTATGTCTTCAACTCACAGTGAGCAAGAGCTCTGGGACACTGCCCCCCTGTCCACAGATGGACACATAGCAAGGTCCACCCACACTCAGGAGTACTACACAGGCAAGAAAAGGAGTGAGGTTGTGAGACTTACCACAGCATGGACAGACCGTAAGGAAACCATACTCAGTAAGAGACGCCGGACACAGTGGACACTCAGCATGGGGCTCCATGGACAGGAAATGCCCAGGACAGGTGAACCCAGAGACAGGAAGTGGACTGGGGGGTGCCAGGGGCTGGGGAGGGGACAGGTGACTGCTTATGGGGATGTGGCTTCATTTTGGAGTGATGGAATGTATGGAATTGGTGGTGATGGCTACACAATTCTGTGCCTGTACTAAAAGCCACTGAAGTGTAAACTTTGCTCTGTGCTCACTGACAGAGATCAATGATCCATCACCAAACTCCCTCCCACTGAGTGACCCCTAACACATCAAAATCAAAGCAGACATCAGTGATCAATCACCAGTCTCTCACCTTGGCTCCCAACAGACATCAATAATCAATCACCAATCTCTGCACTGAGTGCCTGGGAAGCCAGTAGTAAGCCACCCAGCCCTGCACAGGTGTGACACTTCCTGTCCCTGTCCACCTGGGAGGTACCTTGTGGCTTAGCTGTGCTGACAGTGTCGAGGGGCACAGCGCTGGGGGCAGGCGTGGCTTTGGCGGGGGTACTGGGGCTGGTGAGCTTGGTGGTGCTGGCGGTGGCAGGGCCAGGAGCCACGGTGGGGGCCAGGAGTGAGCTGCCCATGCCGGTGACCTCCAGGATCCACTCCCGCAGCCTGGTGACCCGGGCATAGACCCCCGGACGTCGGGCTTCTGCGCAGCCGATGCCCCAGCTCACGATGCCGGCCAGGAAGAACCTGCCCGAGGGCTCCTCGCAGACCAGTGGCCCTCCCGAGTCGCCCTGGGAAACAGAAGCACCCTCAGCAGAGGTCAGGGATCCCCGGCAGAACCAGAGGGTCAAAGAGGAACCCAGAACCAGGACGTGAGACCTCTCTCTGTGTGAGCTCAAGAGCAAATGTAGGCTGATAATCCACATCTCAGGACCTCTGTTTTCTCCTCCTCTGGAGGAAATGAAACCAAGACATTTGGACTATGGAATCTCTAACATACCTTTTAACTCTTTAACTGTTGGCAGCCTGAAACTTGACCTAAATAAACAACATCCTCTCCCTCCATAACCCACTAGACCTTTGATAATATCACCACTTGCTTAGGCTGACAGTCTGGCTGCAGGGTGGAGCCTTCAGCCATCGCGCTGACAGCTGCAGTCTTCCTGTCAAACTGCTTGATCTCCTCTCATGCATCCTGCCTGTCTGTCCTTCACTTTGTCCCCACACCCAGCTCACCAGGACTTATGTTCTTTTGGTTTTGTGGCACTGGGGATTAAACTCGGGGAGCAGCATGCTACATCCCCAGCCCTTTTTTATTTTTTATTTTGAGACAGGATCTCACTAAATCTCTAAGTTGCCCAGGCTGAGATTGAATTTGTGATTCTCCTGCCTCAGCCTCCTGAGGAGCTGGGATGACTGGTGGCACCACATGCTGAGCCTGGTATTCTCCTTCTTTCTCTCTCTCTCCCTCCCTCCCTCGCTCTCTCTGTCTTTCTCTCTCTGATCTCTCTTTGAGACAAGGCCTCGCTATGTCATTCAGGCTGGCCTTGAACTTGAAGAGATCCTCCTGCCTCAGCCCCCTGAGTGCAGTGTTGGTTTCTGAGCTGGGTGCTGCTGGTGGCCCTGCTTACAGCTAGGGAAGCTGAGTTTTGGGGAAGAGATGTCTTCAGCTTCCTGTTCCAAAGTGGCTGCCAAAGTGCTGGTGCTCTCATCCTGCTTTTCTCTCCCCATCTGGGCAGTTGTCAAGCCAGAGGTGCTACAGAAAGCCACTGTGGAGCTGCTGTATAAGCTTACGCCACCACACCTGGCTCTGAGGCTCACATTGTTAAACACAAACTCTCATTACTTCCCATGTTCCCTTTCAACATGGACACCTGAGTGCAGGGAGCAGTCTCTTCATTTCCCCACCCACTGGGAAGGAGGATAGAAAGTTCAAACCCAGCCTGAGCAACTTAGTGACTCAATGAGACCTTGCCTCAAAATGAGAAGTTAAAAGGGCTGGGCATCCAGCTCAACGCAAAAGCCCCGTTCCGTTTCCAGGAATGAATGAGTGAATGAATGAATGGATTTATGTGCTTCTCCCCCTGTGGAGAGGAAACACAGAGGGGGGTCCATGGGGCAGAAGCAGGGGGCTCACCTGGCAGGAGTCCACCTTCCCATCCAGGTAGCCGGCACACAGCATCCTGTCAGTGAGCGAGGGGCCGTATAGGCTGGCACACAGGGCCTGGTCCAACAGCTCCACGGTGGCTTTCTGTAGCACCTCTGGCTTGACAACTGCCCAGATGGGGAGAGAAAAGCAGGATGAGAGCACCAGCACTTCGGCAGCCACTTTGGAACAGGAAGCTGAAGACAGTCTCTTCCCCAAAACTCAGCTTCCCTAGCTGTAAGCAGGGCCACCAGCAGCACCCAGCTCAGAAACCAGCAGAAGATAAACCTGCCACAGATGCTCCTGGTAACACTCTTCATCTGGGCAAATAAGGGGCATCACCCCTCGTCTCCCCTCCCGACCCACCTGCCCTCCTGCTCTCCGGCTCAAGGGGTGCCAGCTCCTTGCTTCTAGGTGCTCAGACCCAACTCCCTCTGCATCACTCCCCTCACGGAAACCCCGGTGCTGACATGGCCATGGCTGCCATATTGGGCAGTGTAAATCTAGAATGTTCTAGACCAGGGCAGCCCTGTGCGATGAGAATGTCCTCTGCTGCACTGTCCAGTCCCCCCACAACACACACGCCAGACTCTTCCTGCCTCCCGGAGCTCACCCTCGCCCCAGGATGCTCTCTCTGACCCCAAACCCTGACCCTTGACCCTGACCCCTGACCCGTCTGGCTGCCCCACATCTGCCAGGTCTTCATGGAAGGCTTACCTTCCCAGAACCCCACTCTTTTTTTTTTTTTT